CCGCAATCCGAATTTCTTCAACCTGAAAAACCTGATAATTTTTTTGATAGGGTAGGATTTGAAATTATCAATCTGATACCCGAACGGGTTTACCATTTTTGAACCCGACCCGCCCGAACCCGACCCGTGCTCTGCCCTATCTGGGGAGGAGTCTCGCTTGAGTATTGATCAGCTCTGAATGAAGCACCAATGGAAAATAATTCCAGAGCTTAATCTATCAAATATTGATCATGCATGGGGAAGAAAGTAATAACACTATTTATTGATCATGCATGGGAAATATTGGTATGTTCAACCCCCCCCCCCCCCCCCCCCCTACAAGATATGTACCTCAATATTTATAAGTGTTGTATCCTGCGATTAATAGAGGACTTAACTATTTTGTAGTTAATTACTTTAACTATGATAGGACTCTTATAATGTCTCTGTCATAACTCCAGTTCTTAATGTCTCCTTTGTGCCCATGATCGTTTAGGTGATTTCTAATGCCACTAGTCATGTTCATCTGTTATGGAACTTTTGCCATGTAAGCCCTATGAAGAGTTCGGCCTCCCAGGAATTTCCACTGGTTCAGGCTCCTGCCGTCCAGGTCAGCTCAGGCGTGGTTGACCTCATGATGGACCTGGATTCTTCTGTTCGGACCCTTGTGACTCATTCTTAAGCCTTAGGGAGAGTTCAATCTTCACGGGATACAACTAGACTTGACACCTACCGTCCAGGTTGACTCAGGCGTGGCCAACCTCGTAGTGGATTTGGATCTCCTTGTTCAGACTTTTATGGCTTCGTCATTAATCCTTTGTCTGGGACGAACCGGAATTAAGTATTCATTTTCGTATGTGGGCTATGGATCAAGCTCATAGTACCATCAACAATAAAATAACTTGTAATATCTTAATTGTTATTTATAGCGGCGTATAATGTAATGATTTGTAAATGTTATGACTATTTATCTACAAAACTTTACTTAAATTTACTTTATTCTTTGAGTGAGCAAACTTGACTAAAGAAATCAAATCATACTACAAAAAGTATCAAGTAATATGGAGTAGCAAAGTACAACATTGTGCAATTAGAGCACATAATATGTCTTTAATACCAAACAATCTAGATAAATTTCAAACTTTACCACCGTTTTGAACTTCATGTACGAGCGAAAATTGCAATATAAAGGAAAAATTATCATATAACCCCACACTATACTGAAAGTGTCGATTAGGCCCTCATATTTTAAAAACATCCAATTGAACCTCCAAACTTTTAGAAACAATCAGTTGAGCGTTTCCAGGTTAACGGCTCATGTGTTATTTTGCTTTTTATGTTTTCCCTAGCCTTTTCTTTTCCCTCTTTTTTTGTCTCTCACTTGTGTTGCCAGCCACAAGACTTCATTGGCGCCCGCCATCGCTCAACCGCCAAACTTCACTCCACTTAGCCGCCACCCTTCATTGCACTCAGCCACCGTCCTGCACAATAGTTGATGCCCTTGACTGCACAAAAGTTGTTGCCCTTCACTCCACTTAGTCGGTGCCCTTCACTTCACTCCAACAATGGCGGCCACAGCCCTCAGAGATGGCCATCATAGTCTCCAACGGAGCTGGCCGCGGTCCTTGACAATCAGGGGCGGACCCAAGAAAGTCATTTTTGGGGGGCGAAAATATTTTTGGGGGGGTTCAAAATACTTTTTGGAAGAGCAAAAATCATTTTTCGTATATATATACACTAAAAAAAAAATTGTTGGGGGGGCGGTAGCCCCCCTGGGTCTCTACTGTCCACCCCTGTTGACAATGAGGGCAAAGCTTGAATTCCTCCCCACTATATGAATGAGATTTGTGCAAACATCAAGAAGGAAGGAAAAAAGAAAAAGAAAAAAAAAAGAAAATATTGTGTGAGCCACTAACTAGGACACCATATTTCTAGTGGCTAACATGTTCAATTGAATTCAATATTTTAAAAACGAGATAATAGCCCTAAATAGGATTAAACTAATCCCTAAATGTACAAATAGGATTATGTTAGTTATCTTCCCCAAATAGGACTAAAGTATACCCTATCTTCCTATTCTACCCTTACCATCACTTAATAGGATAATCATATTTTAATTTGTAATAAATACAAATAATAATAAAAAATAACTTAACTTATACGATAAATCATAACAAAATATAAATAAATTCTAAAATGTTTTAAAAAATGCTAAAATAACAAAAATTAAAAAAAAAAAAATTTTAAAAATAAAAAAAGTACTTTGAAATAAATTAAAATTGGATAAAACTCTTTAAAAAAATGGAGGCCTTTCCCATAGTCTCGACCACTTCCCAACAACGTTATTTTTGATAGGCTAAAAAAATTCCAATTTGTGTAAAAAATACCATTTTTTTCTTGCAAATGCCATGAAGATGACATTTTTACTATTAAAAATGTCAAAAAAATTCTCGAAAACTGCCATCAAGATGACATTTCTGACATACGTTGTCATTTTTGTTTCCTGGTTATCAGGACTAGCGGTGTTGGGAGGTTGCTGAGGCAGTGGATAGGCTTGCATATTTTTTAAAAATACTTGTTACATTATTTATTTATTTTATTTTAATTTATTAAGTTTTTTATACCGCGTGATTTCATCTAATCTCGTCATGTTTGGAACTAACATATAAACCCCAATAGGAAAGGGCTAGCCTTATTTGAGACTTCATATGATATACGGAGTGAATTATTTTGATTACTTTTTAATCATTCCAAATTTACAGAAAATTCATAGCCTTAGGAATTAATTCGATTGTCATATTAAGCGCATCAAGACTAGGGGTGGTTCAGTACGGTATACCGAATATTTTCTCTCATACTTTTGTCATACCAAAACTTTCGTTATACAAAATTTATATATATACCGTTACCTTACCGAAGTTTCAGTATACCGCATTTCGGTATATCGCATTTCGGTATACCGCATTTCGGTATACCGAAGTTTCGGTATACCGCATTTCGGTATACCGAAGTTTTGGTTCGGTAACGGTACGGTATCAATAAATTACCATGCATGTCTCCCAATACAACAAATTATCATATACTCCTACTAACAAAATATACTAAATCGGTGTTACTAGACGCATATTTAATCCATTATTAGAATGTTACACAATACAAGTAATAATCTATTGATGTCATATTCGATATTGAACAATACTTATTATTAGTATATTTAAGCAGTTCAACATGCCACGTATTAAAAAATAACACATTATTATTAGTATATATGAATAATTATATGAACAGTGATCTCTAAATAAATAGATAAAATTATTCAAACAACAACAACAACAACATCCAAGCCTTAGTCCCAAAAGATATTGGGGTCGGCTAACATGAATCGATACATGATATCACAACCAAAAGGAAAAGAAGGAATAAAGATAAAAAGATAAGCTATTATGAAAAGATAATATAAAAAAAGATGAATATATATAAAAATGATAAAATAAAAAGGCTACAAATAATGCTTATATATATATATATAAGGATAAAAAAAAACTAGGAAAAAAAAAGACGAGGGAAAAAATTATTCAAACAATAAGAATATAAAATCATTTATACCTAATATGATATTGTGTATTTAGTCATTTTCATAGTTTTTAAAAAATATTTGAATACGATTTTCAGACAAAGTTGTGTGACTCGACTCGCGGAATCCTTATGTAGATACACTCATCATATAAGTGTATCCCTCTTCACTCGTCAGCTACTCAGCGGCTCAGCAATCGTGAAGATGGACTAGTTTCTGGACATTAGTACATTATTCATTAGTCATTAGGGTTAGTTTGTTTAAATGTTACGTGGTAGCTAGAAACCTAGAAGGTTATAGTGGATTTAGGAAATTGGACCTTTATTTTTGTATTTTAGTATTTCTCACCAATCTAAGTATTAATTTTGGGCTTCAAAATTGTAATGGACTTTTACAATATTTTAGAATTTAAGGTAATTGTTGGGTAGTGAGTCGGTATGGTATAATACCGGTATACCACGGTATTTGAAAACATTTACCATTACCTTACCGAAATAAATCGGTACGATATGATATAGTACCGAAAATGACGATATACCAATATTCCGGTATTTTCCGGTATTTTTTGATACGGTAAGTGCGGTATACCGATATTTCGGTATTTTTACCCACCCCTAACCGAGACTCCCTCGTTCAGCGCATCAGCACTTTTTCACTCGACAAGTCTCTAGACCCGGGCGGGGTGTGGTGATTGAGGTTTTTTTTGTGTTTCGAATTTGCTTTTCAGTTTTTGTGACCACAGGATTGTAGCTTTGACCAGCGGTTGTTCCCTAGGGTTTTCTAGGGTCTTCTTTTCCGATGGGGTTTAACACTTGCAACCGACAATTTAAGGAGGCTTTATGGCAAAGAAGGACTGCGGGAGCCACTTGTGGTTCTGGGGTTGCAACTCATCTAATAATGTTGGTTTTATTTTTGTTTTTTCCTTTGGTTAGACTATGTTTGTTCTCGCGTTCTATTTTTTGTTTTGTCGGACTCTTGCATTAGGATTGAATGATGAGAGGTTTATTTTGACCGCCTTTGGCTCAGTTATGCCTATTACATGATCAACAAGTTATATTGGTTTTTGGAAGGTGGTTGACTCTAAGTCTGATTCGAGAGCTGACGGTTGAGAGTGATCCTTTTATCTGTTTGTTTCCTATCTAAATGTAGTGATATCAATATAAACCACCATTCTGTCCAAAAAATATTTTTTATTTGATAATTTTTGGTTTTTGATTTATTTAGTTTTATTAATTTTATATGGAGTATAATTTTTATTCGTATTTTTTTTATTTTTTTTCCATTTTTATTATAAATAAAATTATGTTATTACTTTTATATTTTGATCATTAATGAAATATGAATCGTATTAAAACAAGGCAAGGGTAGAATTGAAAATGTAATCCTATTTTGGAGAATTTTATCTATAAAAAATGAGGGGCTAATGAACATTTTCTACCGTTTTCCTCGTTGGTCCAAGAAAGACGGGGTTTCACTTCAAATTGCTGCTTCTTTGGTATAAATAAACAGAAGTGGAGTTTAAGTTTTTGAAATAAAGTGAGAGCGATCTGATCTTATCTACGCTCTCACTCCGTTCTTCACAGCTGAAAGCAAGGCAATGGCAGCCACGCCTGTTCGGAAGCCACACACTTCCACAGCGGATCTTCTCACCTGGTCCGAGGTCCCAGCATCCGACTCTTCCTTCCTTGCCCCCTGCAGCGCCTCTCGGTCTGCTTCTCGTACCTCTCATCAGGCAGCTGCTTCCTCCCGTTATTTCGTTGCTATTTATGCATGTTTTCCCTCCCCACCAGTTGTCTGACTTGAGGTTTTGTTTATTTTATAAATATTAGCCGTCTGATGGAGTCAGTAAGGTTATATTTGGAGGTCAGATCACCGATGAGGAAGCTCAGAGCTTGAACAAACGGTAAATTTCCCCGATTTGAACATAATTGAAAAACATCCGATTTAATATTGCATAATTTAATTTCACTTCATTTTTTTCCAGGTATGTATTTGGTTTCTACTTTTTTTTTTACCTTGGGACATTTGGTTTCGACATTACCTTGTGATGCATGTGAACTTTTGTGTGTTGAGTTCGGATCGTTTCTTAAGCATTCATGTCCCCCACATAATTAGTAGCTCTTAGAAAACCTCAGTATGTGATAGATCTGTGAGCACATCTTTGATTCTTTTTTTTCGGATTTGAAGAATCTCATTTCTTTTTTTCCTTTTTAACTATTTACTTGATATTTACTTGATAAGCTCATCCATGATTGCAATTAGTGAGATGTAGGAGTTACGTATTTGGTTTAATTTACTGTATTTCTAACTTAGATTGTATGTTATTCAGAGAGAAGATTTTCTTTGTCTGGACCTTGAATATTTCTATCAAGGTGAATCAAAATTATTTAAACATTTTGGATTTTTTCCCCTTTTTTATTTTCAATGTCTTTAAAACAAGTGCAGGTTTCAATTTTTTTTTATTATCTTTCTGGCAAAAAGTTTAACAGTTTAGAACTTGAGATGTTATTAAATTTCTACATTACAGTCTTCAGAAGTAGTTTGCTGAATCCAATTTTGATATGGAGCAGAATCTGGGCTTGGAAGAAGAGGGGCAGAAGCCCCCGTGGGTTTACTGAAGGCGGGAACGGGCTTGAGCCCACCTTCGTGGGCTGGTTGCGGGCTGCTTAATTAATATTTATTCTTTTTAATTTTCCTGATTTGTTTCCTATTTGGAGTTAATTAGGATTTCTAATATTTGTTTCCTATTAGGAGTTGATTAGGATTTTTATTATTTGGTTCCTATTTGAAGTTGATTAGGATCTTTTTTTTATTCTATTTCCTAGTCGGAGTTGATTAGGATTTCTAGGATTTTGTTTCCTAGTTTGGGAATTAGTAGATGGGTATTTAAACTCCTGTTAGGATTCATTCTGGCTCATCTTGGAATAAAATTGGAGTTTAGCCTTTTGGCTCTAGGCAACGGTATTTTTATCGTAGATTATCTGGACAACGGTTTACCCCGTTGATTTTTATTTTCCTGCTCTCAACAATTGGTCTGACCTGCCGGATCCCGTTCCCGCTAGAATGACGAGATCAATCAGTGAACGTTTGTCAGATGTCGAGGCCGAACTGGTTTTGATGAACCAAAAACTAGACGCGAGGGGTGCGAAGCTTGACGCACAAGGAATCCTACTGGCAGAGATCGCATCCTCCTTGGCTGCGCTCACGAAGGCTCTCGTGCCGCCAGTGACGGAGGATAATTCATCGGCAGTGGCTTCACTCGACGCGACATCAACATCCACGTTCGGAACTTGTCTGTGCAGCACTTCTCTCACGATGCTGCCCTCGTTTGATGGAGAAGATCCGATCGGATGGGTTGCTAGGGCTGAGCATCAGTTCGAACTGAACTGTACTCTGCCGGGAAAGAAGGTGGCAGACACTGTAGTTGTGATGGAAGGGTTAGCCCTATACCGGTTGACTTGGATATGGGCATGAAAGCCGGACATGACATGGGATGAGCTTGCACAGGTGTTGATGGCTCGTTATGACTCACGGTTTATGGGCAATTGCTTTGAACGGCTGTATGAAGTCAAGCAGACAAGGACTGTGGCGGAGTACATCTCAATTTTTGTTCAACTAACAAGTCAGGTCCCAAGGCTATTTGACGATCATTATTTGGGGTATTTCATGAACGGGCTGAAAGGATTTAGTGACAGCTTTCCTAAAGATACTGGGCAGCCCCCGGGGACAAATGTCAACCGGTTTCCGGATTTCAACCTTGAGGACAAGGTTTTTTCGAAGGGGGGTGGAATTGATATGAAGCAGAATCTGGGCTTGGAAGAAGAGGGGCAGAAGCCCCCGTGGGTTTACTGAAGGCGAGAACGGGCTTGAGCCCACCTTCGTGGGCTGGTTGCGGGCTGCTTAATTAATATTTATTCTTTTTAATTTTCCTGATTTGTTTCCTATTTGGAGTTAATTAGGATTTCTAATATTTGTTTCCTATTAGGAGTTAATTAGGGTTTCTATTATTTGTTTCCTATTTGAAGTTGATTAGGATCTTTTTTTATTCTATTTCCCAGTTGGAGTTGATTAGGATTTCTAGGATTTTGTTTCCTAGTTTGGGAATTAGTAGATGGGTATTTAAACCCCTTGTTAGCCTTTTGGTTCTAGGCAACGGTATTTTTATCGTTGATTATCTGGACAACGGTTTACCCCGTTGATTTTTATTTTCCACCCACTAACCACAACCAGTTTATCTTCTTTGAGATCAATTTCATTTTGTTGCTGATGGTATTTTGTTGATTTCCTGCATGGGAAGCAAGCAAATGAAGCATCTGCTTTGCGGTGGAAATCTTTCTGTCTAACATAACATTTTCAAGGACATGTTGCATTAAGTCTAGGAATGGTTCAATTGGATTCTGTTTGTATGCGAACTTTGTGTTTATGATATTACTATTATTATTATATTATTATTATTAGTATTAGTGGTGGTGGCGGCGGCGGTAGTAGTAGTGGTAGTGGCGGCGACAGTAGTGGTAGTGGTAGTAGTAGTATTCAGTAACTATGAAATCCAAACTTGCACATTTTGGTGTAGCATTAGTTGAGTTGAGAGAAAAATGGAATGGAATGGAAAATGGTAGGGGTTGAGTTGAGAGAAAAATGGAATGGAAAATGGTAGGGCTTTTATACTTTTATAACACAGTTAAATGGCAAGAATATTTCAATTCCTATACTTCTTAGAAATTCTGTTACTCGCATTTCACATTTCCTGATCGTGTTTCCGTGCTACTTAGTTTGTCACCCAAGGCCAGTGTGTTTATTATTATGGTATATATCTTCAGGAAACCTTGTTCAGGGTATAAGTTGAAGGAGATGAGTGGAAGCAACATATTTCCGACTGGCAGTGAGAATGGTGACCCAGATTATGAAGCTGTTGATGGCAATTCAAGCAATAGAACATCGGTCCGTATTGTTCAGGTATTTCTTTTCCCTCCCTGTAAAATCAATGAAACCATGAAAGCAGGTATTTCTTTTTCCTCCCTGCAAAATCAATGAAACCATAAAAGCGAAGTCATAGCTTAGGTTGGTGGATATTTCCAGGAAAATATTTCCCGGGAAACTGCTTTATAAGAAAATAAGTTGTTTTGCGTATATTTCCGATACAAGGAGTAATTCCCCACCAGTCTGACGAACCAAGGACAATATTCTCCTTCAGGAAAATATTTTCGGCTGCCATGCAAAAGTTCTAGAGGAAAATGCCAAGCATATGAGAAAAAAGAAAATACTTACCTAGTAAAAAACTTTATGTCAACATATAGAACATTAACCTACCCTACATTGTGGGCAATTGCTGATTTTTCATACATCTCATGTATTAGCAAGCTGCAAATGGGATAAGCCAGATTTCATTCAGCACCGAAGAGAGAATTTCACCAAAGAAGCCCACCACTATACCAGAGGTGGCAAAACAGCGGGAATTGAGTGGAACTCTTGAGAGTGAATCAGATATGAAAAACACAAAGCATTTATCCGATGCCAAATGTAAGGAACTTAGTGGAAATGATATCTTCGGTCCGCCTTCTGAAGCTCTTCCTCTATCATTGACCGCTTCCCGCTCCACTGAATCAAAAGTAAGCAAATTCATGGGGGAGCCGGTCCCACGCAATGTCCGCACATCTGTCAAAGTTTCAAATGTGAGTGGTTTGGCTCTTTTTTTGCTTAGTTTTATGTTTTGATGGCCTTCCAAATGAAGGAGTAAATTGTGTTCTGTTTTATATCCTTTAATTATGCTTTGTTACTCATTTTCGTAATTATGTTATTTTCATCATTTGCAATGGAGTCAAAGACTCACTATTTCTTGGCTTGAGAATATGATGGAATAAAACAAAATGGTCCACTAAGGGCTCGTTCGGTATAGTTTTGAGTTTTCTATTTTTGGTTTTTAAAAAACAAAAAAATGTTTTTAGTTGTCTATTCTCAGTTTTTTGAAATCGTTTTGTTTTAGTGCTAATTCATTTTCAATTTTGTAATTCCATGTGGTGGTCCGGTGGTGGTCCGGTGGTGGCCGGTGGTGGTCGGTGGTGGTCCGGTGGTGGTTGGTGGTGGTCCGGTGGTGGTCGGTGGTCGTCCGGTGGCCGGTGGTGCTCCGGTGGTGGCCGGTTGTGGTCCGGTGGCGGGCCGGTGGTGGTCTAGTGGTGGTCCGGTGGTGGTCCGGTGGTGGCCGGTGGTGGCCGGTGGTGGTCCGGTGGTGGCCGGTGGTGGCCGGTGGTGGTCCGGTGGTGGTCGGTGGTGGTCCGGTGGTGGCCGGTTGTGGTTCGGTGGTGGCCGGTTGTGTCCCGGTAGTTGGGTATTGAAGATAAATGATAACAAATTTATAGAAACTATGTTTTGTTGATTTCAGAATTATGTTTTCGGTTTCTAAAAACACTTTCAAAGATTATGGTTTTGGAAACAAAAACAACTTTTTACCAAACGTGTTTCTGTTTTTTTTCTAAGAAAAAAAACAGAAACCGAAATTTTCGACGCAATTTTCACTATGGATCATCTGGAAACCGTCTCTCTGTGCCCTGCTTTAGTACAGGGATAAGGCTATGTACCATCCAACCCCCTTACCCATCGTAGGTTTCTCCGACTCTCTGTCAACCTTTGTTAAAGAACGACTTAACTTACAGGTTTCTGGTTTGATCTTTCCAAATGAACATTTTGTACCTCATCAGTGATTGTTAAAACAAAACTCACCATTTTACTTCAGGTATACCGCTAACTCTCTAGAACCAGAATTTGAACATTAAAGGAAAGAAAAAATTGACATGGAAAACCAAGTGGAGTAATGAGGATTTGTGAGTTTTTGGAACAGGGGTTGGCAAAGAGGAACTGAAACATTAATTTATTCACCTAAAGCAATAAAGTGCAATATTTGTAAAGTAATTGTCTTAAATAGGAGTAAAACATAGAGATCTTCCATAAATAGGAGTTCACTCCTAATCTTCCCCAAATAGGACTAAACATTAATTTTCTTCACATAATACATCTAATCTAATTAATTAATTGCCTCCCTAGTTTCGTTGGGCAACCGGGGCAGTCCGTTGGTGGCGGAGCAGTCTGGTGGTGGCGGAACTCCTGCGTGGTGGCAGATTGCCTGGGAAAAAACTGGATTTTTTTGGACCTGCTGGAGCTTTGGCGGCGGCCGGAATCTGGCCGGTGATCGGAATCTGGGTGGTGTCGGCTGGAATCTGGGCGGCGGCAGAGCTCCGGAATCCGGCGGCGGCAGCTGGCAGGGGCAGTGGAGGCAGGGGCATTTCTGTCCAGTTACAACAAAAACTCCTACTCCTATTTTTGAATTTTGAACATATTTTGCTCCTATATGAGGAATTATCTCATATTTATATGGACGGAGAAGGATAAACTAAGTTTGTTTATACCAAAAAACTTTTGCTTCTATAATCATTCCACCTTGAGAGAGTGAATACCGCCACATTCAAGGCAGACTGCCTCCATTGACATGCAAAGGGCTATTATAAGGGCTAACATTTGAGTTCTTTGACAGCCTGCTGGAGGTCAAAGCAGTATAATGTTTGGTGACGGGCCAGTGGTGGAAGCAACAAAGAAAATACATAACCAGAAGTTTGCAGAGTTGACCGGGAATGACATCTTCAAGGGAGATGTTCCCCTTGTGTCTGCGGAAAAGCATCTTAGCAGAGCCAAGTTGAAAGAAATGAGTGGAAATGACATATTTGCCGATGGGAAGGTTCAATCACGGGATCACATTGCCGGGGTCCGCAAACCTCCAGGCGGTGAGAGTAGCATTGCTCTTGTATAATTTTAGTTACTAATTAATCTCATCAAAAGGATTTTAAGGTTCTACTACGTAGTATTGCTAAATTATTATCATATTATGGTCCCACTATGCTGGCTTTTACTCCAATGGAAGGTACATATCCATGGATTTGAGTCAATTATGTTGGTTGGTATTTGGTTATGCATGACCTTGTGCTGCTAGTTTTCTCAATAGTATAAGTATCGTGTCCACTACCAGATGTGGTGATATATATCATACCCGTAGTATATTCATATGGGTCTTATTAATTCAATTCCGTAGTACGGACTACGAGGTATGGACATTAAATTGTCCTCATGGATTCTTTATTCCAATTCGCTCTATTTGGCAATCAATTTATATGCATTAGCCATAAAGATTGATGCTTAGATAGTTAGATTTGCTATTCAGATATGTTGTTTGACCAATTTTTACTTTCACCTAGAGGTAGACTTGGGTCGGGGAGTTCTGGTCTAGTTCTGATTCCAATTGGCTAATTTCCGATCCCCTAGTATTGTCACTAGGGATGGTCCGGATGGACCCGGGTCGGTCTGGTCTTGGTTCTAGATCGAGACCACCCGGTCCAAAAAAATTGCTTAGGTTTCTTACTTTAGACAATAAAAAGTTGTATATATACAATGTGAAGGCTTAGGTTTTCCAAAACTCTAAACTTAATAAAGGGGTGTTTGGATCTGATTGTTAAAATTGCTTCCGCTCCTTCAGTGAGCAGAAACAAAAGTTGGAGTGTTTGGGTGAAAGTGCAGAAATGCTTCTGATGCTATAATTTTTCCTAGAATAAATTTTTTAGAAACTGAGGGAGACTAGCTTCCGAAAACTGATTCTGATTCTGCTTCTGTTTTAAAAAAGAAGCAGAAGCAGAATCGGTTCCAAACATCCCCTAAGTTTGCGTCTTTATTTCCTTTCCTTTCCCAGTTTCGCTGTGATTGGCGCTATATTCTTACAACAGTATAGCTTGGCGCCTTTAGCATGACATCTATGTAGGGGTGGATCTATCGGGGGGTCAGGGGTCAGTGCCCCTGCTTTTGCAGTATAAGCTAAAGTATAGGTAGGGGCATTCCATTATTTCCGGTGAGCTTGGATGGCCGGTTTTGCTTCTGGAGGACAGCAGCTGGACAAGGACGATCGATTGAGGAAGTGCACAATTATTTTTTGAGTCAAACGACTTTGTTTGAAGTCGGGGAAAAAAACCATGGCAGGCCTGACACTCAATAGCCCAAATGAAGGATAGACCAAAGGTCTGAAGCCAACAACCAGTGCTAACGCAGTTACGCAAATCCTTCCCTGGGCGCAAGCAGGCAAACAACGAAATAGCTTTAACCAATAACCATCCTCTTCAGGCCTTAAGAGTTGTTATGGTTTGAGAAAAACATCACCCCTTTAGTCCAACCTCTTCTCCATGCTTGTGATTTTTTCTTTAACTCAGACTTCTCCGCATATTCTTGTCTCCTCTCCAAGTATTGGGTCATCTTTTCACATCGTTGAATTTATGGGTCCCTTCGTGCTTGGTCAGTGTGGGATTCTTCCTTTGAATACGGTCCTCCAACAACATTGTAACACTTGAGATTTAATTTAAACGGATTAATAGTACTACTCATACCCACAAGATGCATCTCCTTTTAAGGGAGCTCATATGCCAAGAACTCCAAAGTTAAGCGTGCTTGCACGGGAGTAGTCTTGGGATGAGTGACCCCCTGGGAAGTTTCTCAAGGCGTGCACGAGTGAGGACAAAGTGTGCGGAAAAGGCTAGTGGCGGTTTGTGAGGACAGTATTAGAGGTCTGGAGTAACTAATCGGGGCCTACGGGGCCGGGGTGTTACAGGTGGTATCAGAGCAACCCTGTGACAGTGTGTTGACCCGTTGGATATCGGGCGGGCACTTAGCAAGGAAAGATTCTGGGATTTGATTGAGATTTGAGATTGGATTATGGGCGCAACGAGGATGTTGCGTTCCTAAGTGGGGGTGATTGTGTAACACTTGAGATTTAATTTAAATGGATTAATAGTACTACTCATACCAACAAGATGCATCTCCTTTTAAGGGAGCTCATATGCCAAGAACTCCAAAGTTAAGCGTGCTTGCATGGGAGTAGTCTTGGGATGGGTGACTCGTTGGAAAGTTTCTCAGGGCGCGCACGAGTGAGGACAAAGTGTGCAGAAAAGGCTAGTGGCGGTTTGTGAGGATAGTACTAGAGGCATGGAGTAACTACCTCGGGGCCTATGGGGCCGGGGTGTTACAAACATGCTTACCATCCCCTAGCTTAGTTCATGTCATCATCTGATTTTCTATCTAGACACAACAAACTTTGCCTTTTCTACTCCAAATGTGACCACTATTGTCACTATTCCTCTTGCCAACACTATTCTATACAGAATGTAGTTCAAATTTCTCCTTTTCTATCATAGTATTCTTAGATTCCATCTTCCTATACTTATAACCCTCATACTATGGGAATTGTTAATTGTAATTATTGACATAATTATTAATTGACATTGTATTGATTTTGGGAGAACTTGAAACTCTTATTGATAGGTCTCACAAGTGGTGTTTTCCATGTAGAATACAAATCCAATTGTGATCTTGTGGTCATCGGTATCTCTATCCCAATCACTATAAAGAGTAAAACAACTAATATTCGGTGATGCATTTGAGATATCACAACCAATATTCCTGTTTGTGGCCTTTAAATGAGCTGTTGTTGAGGACTCCATGAATCGACTAACAAGTCCAACATCGAAGAGAATATATGGTCTTTTACATGTTAAATATCTTAAGCTCCCCACAAGACTTTTAAAGTAAGTTGGATCAATCAATTTTCCATCACCATACCTCAATAACTTTAGTCCACTTTCAACAGCAGTACTTAAAAGTTTAGAGTTATCCATATTGAGCTTCTTGAGTACTCCACTCGCATATCCTTCTTGAGTGATGAATATACCATCATTCATTTGCTTTACCTTGATGTCATGGTAGCTCATAAGCCCAATGTTGGTCATCTCAAACTCCCTTATCATGCCTTTATTAAACTCATCAAATATCGTTGTGTTATTACCAGTAAAGATGAGATCATCCACATATATGCACATGAGCAACATCTCTTCGATGATTTTTCTATACATATTGAGCATTTTTTTTGACACTTCACGAATCCATTAGTTTGGAGTAGTGGCTAATTTTATTATTTCAAGCTCTTGGTGCTTGGTTAAGCCCATAGAGAGTCTTTCTTAACCTCAACACTTTGTCTTCTTGCCTTTTAACCTTGTATCCTTCGTGTTGCTCAATGTAGACTTCTTCTTAGAGTCCGTTTAAGAACCCGGTCTTGAGATCCATTTGATGTATCTTTCACTTTCATTGAGCTGTGAGCTAATGCAATCATTAATCTTATTATTTTCAACCGAGCAAGGGGTAAAAATATTTCTTCACAATCAATGTCATGTCTTTGGGCATAGTCCATAGCAAACCTTGACTTTTGCTTCTCAACTTTTCCTTTTGCATTCTTCTTGATCTTAAATACTCACTTCACCCCAATTGCTTTATGCCGTGGTAAATATTGTCTTAAATGGGAGTAAAACATAGAATGAATGCAAAAATAGGACTAGTTAATTTAAATTCCCAAAACAGGAGTTCCAATCTCTATTCTACCCCTCCCGATATTTATTGTTTTCTCTTCCTACACTTTGTCATACACACGCGTGTCTCCTACCTCTCCCATCTCCCTCCCACCCCACCCCCCATCTCTCCCTTTTCTCCCTTATGCAAATCTAATTTTCTACTTCCCTTGGAACTAGGCATGGACTTGGGTTGGGTCGAGCCGGGTCAGTCCCGGGCTCGGTTTTAAAAAATGAAGCCCGGAAGCGACCCGGTATGCTCTGGTACCGGTTCGGGTCCAAGTACCCGATCGGGCCTCGGTATGACCCCGGGTCGGGTTTCATTTTTTTTGATTCCTAATGTATTCAACAAGTGATAGACATTATAAATTAAATGTATATTTATTTTAAATATGAAGTACAATTTAGATTTGAGAATAATTTAAAACATTAAATATATTTGCTAATCGTCGGAATCTCCACCAGGGCCGATTTTTGTTTCATCAATGAAGTGGCGGTCGGGGGCGATATAAACAGTAAAGTTCTTGAGTTCTACACCGGGCCTTCAACCGATCGTGGAAGCAAATGAGTGTCTGAAGAGATTGTGCGCTCAATATTGTTCTATAATCCGCTAGGACATTGCCGACTTCGCTAAATTCTTGTTCCACGGCTACTGTTGACAGACATTGATAGCACTTGCTTTGCCATATTCAATGAAATTGGGATCATTCCTTCTTTCTCCTTCCACCATTTGAGAACGTCAAACTATATGGATGGACCGGTTCCGGTTCGGGCCCGGTCGGGCCTCGGTTCATGAAGGAGAGGCCCAGAACCGGCCCGGGTAACCCCCGAGCAAAAAAGTTTGAGTTGCGTTATAAAAAAATTAACAAAACGTTGTAATTTTTTCCATAGTGTCGAGCTCAATCAGTTTTATAATATACTCCCTTCGTTCCCAAAAATTCTTCCCACTTTCCATTTTGGGCCGTTCCCAAAAATACTTCCCACTTACTAAATAAGGAAACTTCCTACTACTAAAAAACCTATCTTACCCCTTAAAAAGCGGTCCGGGTCAAACCGGGAAGAATTTTTGGGAACGGAGGGAGTAGTAAACTGGTTCTTTTAAAAAAGCAGAAAAATAGTCTTTGAATCTAAGAAGTACATAAATTAAGTTATAAGTATTATTCAGTGAGTAGACAAATTCTTAGAAAAAGCATAATATTTAACACGTCTAGCTCTCAAATATTCACGCCATTGCTTTTTAAGATGATTATTACCCCAAATAAGTTTAATACCTTCCTTCACGTTCTCCAACACAGTTCCTAACACAGTTAAATTGTCTTTTACACATAATTGAAGAATTTTTTTTTCACAAATTAAATCAGACATACCAGTTAAATGTTTAACATTAGGGAGAACTATCAAATAAACCCTCGAACTTTCATAAAAAGTGCAAATAAGCCCTTTTATAGGAGGCTTTGTCCGGTTGTCGCCATTTGGGGCGGTTTCTGGTGGAATTTTTTGATGCATTTTTTTTAGCATCTTCTTCATTAAGTCTAGTTTACCCATACTAAATTTCAGCTAAAAACTCAATTGACGGAATGCAGTCAAATGATTTTCTAAAATATACTGCGCTGTCTAACTGTTCAGTTATCTTCAAAAATTCATTTGTCTACCTTCCCGATTGAATTTTTAGCTGAAATTTGGTATAAGTAAACTAGACTTAATGAAGAAAATGCTCAAAAAATGTCATCAAAAAATTCCACCGGAAACCGCCCCAAATAGTGACGGCCGGACAGAGCCTCCTAT